CAACCCCAGGGAGACAGAGAGGGGAGGTTCAGCTCCTTGCTCTGTTTGATGGCTCACGTTCCTTCCCACTGCTTCCCCAGTCAGGTTACCCCTTTATGTTTGTCTCTGCAGGTGCCAGTTCCCACTTGACTGTGCCTGTATATGATCTGTGTACTGCATTCACTGGGGCTGACAGCCATCCTGTCTTGTTGATGCCTCATAGATCATTTTTAAGTGTTAAATGAGGTATATAATTCTATTATGATTATTCCTGCCTTCCCTCATTTTTTTCCCCCCTAGAATTAAAAATTGCTTAACAACTTTAATCAAACTCAACCAAGCTCTTGACTAAACTAGGAAATGTTGAGAACATCTCATTGCATTTCGATTTAGTGTATTTTAATGGGAAGTAGGAGGTACAGATGCTATTGAAAAGCACGAATAAGCCCTGAGAGACTTGGCAGAAATACTAACATGAGAAGGAAAGAGTTGAATACACAATTCTGTAATCTATGCATTGCCAGAAGCAATGGCTGTGTGCCATAAGCAATCGTGTGCAGCCAAATTCTATCAGCTATGCTAACTGCTATAAGTTATCCTATTTACTGTCATCAGTGACCCTTAAAAAAAACAATCAGGAGACTGCAAGGTTTGAGCTTCAAATTACCTATATTTCTTGCCCTGTATCTTGCTTTCTCAATGTGATTATGTAGCTGAGCACTGAACTGCTCTTAGATGTACCAGAGAATTCATTTGAGAGGGAATTATTGCCCAATAATTGTAGAGGAAAACATCAGCTCACTTATCAGTGCTAAGAGAGGGGCCATGTATAGATATGTAATGCATAGGCAGAAATAACTGGAGACTCCGAAGGAGCAAACCACTTTTCCTTTCAAGAGAACTGCTGACACTGTTAATCCTGAAGAGTAAACCAATGTCACCTGAGTCAGCTCATAAATGTTTGAAAAGCAGGAAGCTTTCTAGTTATTAAACTGAGGATGTAATACTATGCATTTGTAAAAGAAAAAAAAAATCCTCCGTGGTAAAGAGAGGCAGCTTAAAGTTAATCCTGCTAAAAGTTAGGCTAGGACTGTTAGATTGTGGCAGAACATACACTAATACAGCCAAGATGAATAGCAGTTTGACATTATTGTGAATTACTGGTGGATCTGCAGCATTAATAGACTGTGAATGATCAATTGATCAGTGGTATGACTTGAGAAGGAGCTGGGAAAGACAGTATAAATGGGTAATACAGAACACATGGCTGTGGTCAAACCTAACTAGAGGTAGTGGGTTGATGAGGAACTGTTTGGAAGATTGTACCCTGAGAGTGGTGATCAGTGACTCAATGTTTGGATGGAGATCAGTGACAAGTGGTGTCCCTCGGGGTCTGTGATGGGATCTGTGCTCTTTAACAGCTTTGTCAGTAACTGACAGTGGGATCAAGTGCACTCTTAGCAGGTTTTCAGATGACACCAAGCTGTGTAATGTGGTTAACACTCCTGAGGGTTGGGATGTGGTTCAGAGAGACCTGGACAGGCTTGAACAGTGGGCCCAGGTGAACCTCATGAGGTTCAGCAAATCTAAGATTTGTATGTGAGATGTTGTACCTGGGTCATGGCAACCCCTGCCTCAGTATTGTCACTGCATTAGCAATCTCTGCCTCTGTACCCTTGTCAAAAAGTCCACGGGGCTCCTTTCTTTAGGCAGTGCTGTGTCTGATGACTGAGAACAAGGGCAGTGTATTATGGCCACGTTGTGTCCTCACAGTCTGCTCTTAAAATGGGAATTTGGTGAGCATTAAATCCTCTCCTGAAAATACGTCCAAGGCTATAATGCCCTAACAAATTGTTAGCAATTAAATGAATAATGTATTATCTCACTAGCACTATGGTAATCATTTCCAAAGGACTGGGTCAGCCAGGGACTAATGCTTGGTCCTCGGAGTACTTCCTGGATAAGTGAGGGAGGACAGTAAGTAGCAGCCCAAGAACAGATCAGAGAATAAGTTACAGTTTTACAGTCAGCTTCCTCACTGTGTTTCTCCAGCAATGATCAGTTATGACCAGTCTTTTAATGCAGCTTATTCCATTTTGAGCTGCAATGTATTGAGTATATCTCATGGAAATTAGGAGGTCTTGTGCTTGTGGCCATAAGAGTGATTTTTTTTTTTTTTTTTTTAATCCTACAAGCTTTTAGGAAGGAGACCAGCTAAATAATTAAAAACTACTAGATAGTGAATAAAAGCAACATGGAGATTTATAGTGTCTTGGCAAGGAAGGGGGAACTTTCTTGTTCTAATAAAAGATTGGTCATTTCCAGGTGGTTTTGCTCACCTTGGTTTGTCGTGTCTGTTTGGAGTGACTGTGGTGGCAGTGAGGCTGACCATCCTGATGGGCCACTGTCATTCAGCAAGCCTTCAGTCTCTTTTTCTGTCTTTTAGTAAATGTCTTAATAAATGAAAGTATTCTTGTTGTCAGGATTCAAAGCATGTTTGCTTTGTATATTGAGCCATAGTCCTTATGTGCTGATCTACTGTTCTGGCTCATCTCGTTTAAATTGCATCTGAGCTCAGCTTATTCAGAGGGAAAATGAGTTCTGACAATTGGCATCTCTTCTTCATTATTGTGATTGGTATAAATCTAAAATTTATGCTTTGTATCTCAGCAAAACTATTGGGCTCAACATGCCTCATCTTTTCTGTCTAATGGAAAGTAAGCGTTTTAAGTGAGAATTTAAAGAATTGCCTTTTTTTTCTTGTTTAGCTTTGGCTTGCTTTCTTTCTCCATTCAAAATAATGCTAAATAATCTACTGTTTGTGCAGTCTGAGTTAAACTGCTGAAGATACTTCCTGTAATACAGTTCAGAAAATGTGCAATAAGACAGGGTTTCTGAGTACTAAATGGGCTGTGTGGTAGGAAATGGGGGAAAAAAAAGTGAAAAGTTGAAGGGGAAAGAATTAAGAATATAGAAGAAAGTAGGAAAGATGTGGAGAGAACCTTTGTAAGTACTCTGCATGTATGGGAGGGAGAAGGGAGAGAGTATTTTTAGCACCTTCCTTTTTGTTTCTCTGGATTTCAGTGTCTGACCCTGGCAGTTTGGAAGAAGTACCAGGAACTGCACTCACTGAACATCTGTGTGCATGATATCTGTAAATCGAAGTTACGGCTGCATTGATCCCTTTGTTCTGATAACAGTATTTCTCAGCGTGACATTTGAAGGCATCTAATTGCACAAAATAAGAACAGCTTCCAATAAGAATCTTTTGCATTTATTTTAAAGATGTTTCTAAAGGAAATTGGAAACTTAATGAGATAGAAAAATTCTCCATGTATTATTTAAAGCCTACTCCTCTGCCATCATAACAGTTCACAATACCCATCTGTTCTGCAGTATGCAAGTTTTACTCTGAATGCAACACGAGCTGCTCTGGCACATTCATTAACCTAGCGAAAGATACTTCTTTAGAAACTACCTCCTAGTGTAGAAAACAAGAAGAAAACCAAAACTTCTATTTTATTTTTATATATCCCATCATTATAGGCGCACTGCATTGACACAGGTTTTAATTAATCTGTCTTAAGATCATTCATGCATGAAGAAAGCAACGTGTGCTCATTCTTATTTTCCAGCAGATCTATAGAAGGGCACAATCCCTGCGTAAGTAGAAACGACACTGTTAGTGTTGGGAATAAACAAGGAAGATCAGGGTCTTAATATTATCTGTAGTGTCACACACAGTCTAGTGTTAAATATTTAGATACCTTTACTTGGTGCTTGCATCATAAGCTTTGAATTTAGGAGGGACTAATTTAGAGCATATGCATTATAGCTTGAAAATCCTTGAAAATGGTACTGGGATTTTTTGAAGGAACCACTGCTGGGACAAAATAAGGAACCATAACTTGATAGCTCACTGGTTTTTGCATGCTCATACAGCATTGTTGCTTCTGATGGATTTTGGCTTAAGCTTTAAATTAATATGGAACAAGTTTTATGTGGATTAGCATGCATTTAGGACTTTTGCAGCATAAAACTATGTGATTTAAATAGGAAAGAATCTTGGGATCATTCAGAGAAGTCCGTGCTCCTTCATTTAGTGTATAACTTCAGGTAGAAGTGGGATATGGCTATGAAATGCTTCTGTGATGAAGAAAATAAACAATCATTGTGAAGCTGCAGTTCCTAGGATAAATATCTTGTAATGGAGGGCTACAGAGGGCACAGCCTGCATTGAAGGATAGGCATCATGGAAAGGTCCTGCTGAGTTTGTACCTAGAAGGCCACATCTGCTCTTGCTTCAGGCATGTGCTGTGGACCAGACTAAAGGACTGCAGGTCCTGAATCCTTCACTCAGGTGGCTGATTTTCATCCAGAAATGCTGGCACTCTGCCTGATAACTCACTGGTGATTTAGTCAGAGCAGGTGCTCTTGTTTGGAAGTGGCTCCTGAGAATGCATCTGCTATTCTGCTGGACATTGCTAGAGATAGCAGAGAGCTGGCTCTATTTTCTCTATCAAACTACCTTTGTTTTTACTTTTCTTAATGCTTTTCTATATTAAAAAAAAGTCATAACTGATGACCCTCGGTAAGGGTCTGTGTTTTCTTCAACTTCTCAGAGGGGCAAGGAAATTTATTTTTCCTGAAGATGGACTTCAGTGCCCTGGAACTTGTTTCTAAAGTTACTGTAAATGATGCATATCCTGTACCTTAAAAATTATTTTGTCTCTAGCCAGCTATTCAACTGGGGACCTTTACAAAAGATGCTGTTTCTCCCTGTGCATTGCAAGGACCCTTGGCTTAGAAATGATTTTGCATTCAGGAACAGTGACAGCAGATGCAAATGCAATGACTGTCTAATAGAATATGTATGAATGTGTGTGACAAATCCTTGAAAGCATCCTATGTTGACGAATTATAATAGCAGAAGAAATACAGTCCTGGTTCTGATGCAAGAGGTCATACAGATTTCATTTTACAGTCGTAGTGAAGACTGAGAAACAAAATGGCTGTAGAACGGGCCTCTGCTTAAGGACAACTTTACTTTGCACATATATATGTTTTGTGAACTAAATTAACGTTGAGTGTAGTGGATAGGCAGGACAGTGGCTGATGGCACAGCAGTGGCAGGGAAGGAGGCCTTGTCTCCTCCCAGAATGAGAACTGTTGGCATCACAATGTCAGAACTCCACACAGTTGTATGGTCTGGGGTCAGACACAGCCTGTGATGGGACGGAGAAGGGAAAGGAAGAGCAGGCACCATATTGTGTAGTAGCCCACGGGATCGTCAACTGCATCTTAGTACAGGTATTATAAATTATTGCATCTGACAAAAATTTTGCTGGAGATGTGTACAGGTGTCAGTGCCTCTGGTTGCTATTGCTCAGCTTAGGAGCTGCCATGGGGAAGGGGATGCTGCAGGGGGCACCTGGATGGTGTGGGCCTGGTGCTGTGTGAGGCTGCAGGGCTGTGCTATGGTGAAAAGCTGTTCAGCTTGTACAGGTTGCATCAGGAGCAGTGCAGCTTAATGGCTTACCAGTGGCACATAATACACAATCAGTGATCTAAATATTCAGGATCAATGTCACTAATGCAAGAGAGAATACTGTCTGCTGCTGTGGTTTAGTAAACAGTTCAGTATTCTGAAACACCCTGAATGCTTTACCTTCTGCCTTACGCATGCAGCCATGCTACCTGCACACCCCTTCTCCAAGATCTGGGCTTCCCTTTCTCGTGCCCCCATCCTGTGGGAGCCATGGGGCTGTGGCTCAGTGTGTGCCTGTGCTCCTTGCAACCTGCTCACCCACACAGGGGAGGAGGTGTCCCACAAGATCATCTGAACACCTGAGCTGAAGGTCCATAATGTGAGCACGACAGATGGATTTGGTGTTCTCTTTGAACACTGGCTCTTAATTCCTTTAGCAGCCACTCTGTGACACATCATTCTTTACTTGCGCGGCACAATTTACTACCTTTCAATTTACCAAGATTAATGCTGGGAAGTTCAACTTTGTGCAACCCGTTAGTGAGACAAATTTTTCATTAGTCTTAGTCAACCATCAAATTATACTGAGTAATTATGTAGTGCAGCAGTGATTTTAATTAGAGATAACCCATTCACTGATGCAAACTAAACAGATCTTAAAATTAAAAGGTCAGAATCTCAACTGGTGTTTAAAAAAAAGGAAGTAGTTCTACAAAAGGCAACATAGCTACTGTCAGTGGAGCAGTGCTAGCTCATACCAGACAAGTCCATGGCACAAGGACTCCTATTTGGCTGAGTTGCAAAGCTCAGATAGTGGTTGGACTTCATTGGGGCACGCTGGGATTAAAACATCTATTCTAGGGTGGTAGATGAAAGGCTACAGGCTGCAGCTTAGTGAACATGCTTGAATGTGACTGCTGTATGTTGCTCTGCAAACTGACAGATTGTCTTTGTCCCCCTACTCTGTATAGGTTCAGAGCATTTTTTCTGCACAGGAGTGATGTTGGTCCTTATCCTTCTTAAATTAATAGAATTTGCTGTGGGTTTCAGTGATTCAGGCAGTGTCACTGTTACACCCGGGATGGAGGCTTGTATTTTAAAAATGACAACACTATTTAGGGATTTAAGCATGTAAATAAGGATAACAGTGACTTAGCTCAATCTCGTCAATACTAACACCTGCTAAGCCTATGGAACAAGAAACACTTGCTTCAAGTACCAGATCCTGCAGGTAGATATTACCTGTAAATCATTACCTACAGAAGGGTATATTTTGATCCCAACTCCTTTCCTTTGGCTTGTTTTGATGGACTCAAACTAGTGATTCAAACAGAGAATCCATCTTCTGAGGAGTTTTTACAGCAAACACCACCCTCTGCCCATATGTTTTTGATTGCTTTATGTGAAAATGGAAGAACTAACATTTGTTGCCTTGAGAGGCCAGGCACTGGTTGAGAATTTTGGTGGCTCTGAGACTGGTGGAAGTTGGTCCTTCTGGTAATTTTGAGGGAATTTGGATTAGGCCTACATCCTACCACTGCAAATAAAGAGAATTAACTATTGATTCTCTTTTGATATTTTACTGTCTTGACAGGAATGTTCTCTTTGATAAAGAAGTATGAGCCTGAGTTTCAACTCTTATCTCCCACTCCTTTTTCTAGTAGAGTATCTCTAATAAACACTCTTAAAGCAGAGCATCCTTGGACTTTTCTCAAACTTTTGCTGACAGATTAATGTTTATGTAATGACACCAGAATTTCTTGGGAACAAATGTTAAGAGTATCGAACAATTTAAAACAGCATTCAGTTGTTGAACAGAAATCCTGTACAAAGCAAAATGTAATTTCCTTTCTGTGTTCCTTTGTTAAACTTTGTAGTACAACATCCATGCATGTTTGTGAGTTGACACCAATGTGAGTGAAAGCAAAGACAGCTGTTAGGGGCTATCCACAGCTCTGGGTGAGTCACAGTTATTCCAGAACAGCACTTGAGCATCTGCTTGGTCTATGAGTAGGATTGAAACTTGTCTTATCCCTTTTCTCAAGTACGCGTTGAAGTACTTTACTAAATGAGATTTATTAACAGTCCTTTCATCTGCTTTTTATTGCTGTGTGGCTTTTATTACAGTGCTTAATTAAAACAGTGAGACTGTTAAACATGTTACAATGTCAAGGTTTAGATGTCTGTGTGTAGAAAAATCCTTTGATGCTTTTCCATGTCCTGAACATCCTCTGAATTTTCAAAGCCTTATATTCTGTATTCACAGTAATGTATGCTTATGCTGTATCCTTTCTCTATTGCAACAAAAACACAAATTTTACAGGATAAAATCTGGTATAAATATTAAAAGTATTCCAGTCTGGCTGAAACAAATGAAATAATTGTTATTTCACCTGCTGATAATTCAAAGAAGTTTTTTTTATATCTGTATTAAAGCTTTGATTAAGACAATGAAATGAGCAGACTGTGACATTTTGTTCTGGTTATATTTTAAAAGCATAATCGTACTCAAATTGGAATATCTGTGTATGAATTCACACCAGATAGGTAATTAATCTCAGTCCTCTAAATATTTCAAATCTCCCTGTCCTTGAGAATTTACTGATGGCACATAAACTATTTACATCTTTTTTGAATAATTTATCCTGTCCTTCCATTATGCCAAATGAATTCATAATCTTGGATAACGAAGCATTCCTGAGTGAAAGTTAATATAGAGCTGCATCTCCTAAGTAGAAACCTGTGAAAATACTTTCTTTTTTTCCACGGAGCTTAGTAAATTCTTTAAGCATTCTTATCCCAGTGATTGTAAGATCTGAGAGTTTGGTTTTGCACTGCTTTTGCTGATATAAAGCAAGGTAATTCCACTTATCTCAAAAAGAAGCCACTCCTGATTTCCCCCTCCCCCCTTTAGGCTTATGTCAGAACTGAGCCCAGAATATTTAAGTGTACCACAGACATGTGAGTCTTAATTTCATTCAGATGCATGTTCTGTACCAGTATTAGCCTTCATTTCATGACATTTAATTAAGAAAGGTCATTTTTCTTTTCTTCAGTATGCTAGTAAATATTAAGCTGTTTCCCTTATGTACAACTTCTTCTGCACAAAGGCATTACCATCAGCCCAGTTAAGGTCACTTGAGCTAACTCTGTGCTGAAAAGGAAAAAAAAAAAAAAAAGGTCAGAGTAGATTTCCTAGAATTATACTGTCCCATGCAGATGCAGGTTGGGGTTTGTGGCCGTGCTGGATGACTTAGGGGAGTTCAAATACCCATGTATGTCTATCTTAGGAGGCAAAAATATGTAATAACTTCCATAAATGACTGTAAGCCACAAAACAAGCAACCCACTTTTGTTATATCTATTATTGTTTGCAACAGTTTGATAAGATTATGGGAAAAAAATTCTACTAATTTTATATTACTTCTAATAAAACTATATATAATAGGATATTGGGCAAATATATATATGTTTTTACTTTGTGTATGCTAGTAGGAATGACTGGGGCCTGGTGATATTGTGTCTAAACAATGAAAGCAGATCTTTTTTCCTCTGTCTTTCCTAAATATAAGTTCCCCTCAATTTATTAGCTGGTTGGACAGCAAAGATTGCCCTCTGTTCTCTTTGTACTTCCACTTAATTTTGTTAGGTGTACAGTGTTCTCCTTTTTCCTTCCTCCAAATAATGAAGACATATACCTTTTTTTTTTTTTTAAATCTTTTTCTTCCCCTTTTTTCATTTTTCACGTACAATCTCCTTCCATTGGTCTCAAGTTGCCTTTGCTGAATCATATTCTGTAGGTAAGGCATCAAAATGCTCTGTGCTGATGGTATCTCAGTCTGGTCATTTATTCCTATGGTCATAGCAGGAAATGAATGCTGTGCTGCCTTGCATTCAGACTGTCCCATATGAGATAAGGATTCAGGTACGTCCCACGTGGCTGTTTGACAAACCTGACCTGTTCCTTTTGAATTTTTGAAGTCAGTCTAGTAAACAACTCGCAGTGCTTTTCAAAGCACACCTTCCAAAAGTCCTGGTTTCTATTTCTCCCTTTTTCTTCCTTACCTGAAAGCAGTGTACAAGCTGCTTTCTATTCTATTGCCCTTTTACATTTGCTTGTATCCAGTAGTGAAGTCCAGAGAAGACCACCTGCTTCCTTTTTCTCTGTTGCTGGTAACATCATGGGTTGACATCCAGTACTTGATGAAAACACAGAATACAATAAGATTTAAAAAAAAAAAACCAAAAAAACCAATAATTGACTTGTGCAACAGATGGTCAAGTACTGATCTCCTTGAATTTATTGCATAGTTTTTTTCCTCACTCACCACTCAATTTTTGGAATCTATATTTTTCACTTAACTGCAAAATCTGGCAGAAATGAGAAACATAACAAAAAGTAACAGAGCCAAATAGAAATCTATGTATCTAATAGCTGAAGGAAACTATCACAAGAGGGAAATGCTGGATAGGAAGAGAGATGAAGCCCCACAGAAGCATGGTTGTCCCAGTGAAGCAATGCTTCTGTGTCTGGACTCCTTTAGAGCTGCTAATAGGCTGTTCAGTTGGGTGAAGCTTCCAGCAAGTGACCTAGAATCACGATGTAGGGCTAAGCAAGTGAAAGTTCCTTTTTTAGCAGTCAGATTTGGCTTTCTGGGCAACTAAGGGGAAAATATGTTTTTTCTCCACTTCTGAAGCTTTTCACAATTGCCTAGCCTAAACTAGGAGGAAATTACTGGCTGTTTAATGATTCTGCAGCATGTTAGTTTAACAATGTTATTTCAAGGGTATAAATTGGTCAGTGGATGGAATGGAAGATAAA